AAAAAAACAAAAAACCCAGCCACAGAAATGCTGACGCGTGGATGCCTATTGGTCCCGGTTGGTGCCACCAACCAGGACCAAAGGCCCTCCTGCCTGGGCTCCGCGCACAGGCCACGTGAAGGCCCATCTGTCCCGGTTCTGGATTGAACCGGGACTAAAGGGACAGGGCATTAGTACCGACCCTTTAGTCCCGGTTCAGGAACCGGGACAAAAGGCCCTTATGAACCGGGACAATAGGCCCTTTTTTTACTAGTGTGACAACTCAACAGCTAGGGCTTATAAATATTCTTTGGTTCCCTTTATATTGAATCAATAAATTTTGGTGAAATACTACCCTCAAGGACTGTTGCAATCCCCTGTACTTGTGGACCATCACGTGCCTTTTCTTGCAGCAGTGTTGTAATGGTTTTCATCCGTTTTTCCTCAAATTAACCAGGAAACTCTCATATGCATTTCTTTAATGAATCGACTCCTAAGAGACCAACACGAAGGTTTTCATGCGTGATGGATGGATGGTGGTTCAGTCTTTTGACTGGTCCTCCATTCCTTAGGTCGTGTTTTCCTTTTTATCGAGGCCGTCATGGACCATCAGCACATTTTTCCTTTTTGTGTGTTATGTGCATTTCGTTATGCAGAAGCCAATGTTTTGGTTTATCATATTGGTGTTATGTATTGGATCAATGAAATTCTTATAAAAAACATTTTTCTTTCGAACCATAAAATTATGTTTTCAAAGCAGATTAAAGTACATATGATAGGACAGTCATACCAAGAAAACATTATAACCTTTTAGAATTTCTGATCCATAGATTCATATAAGCAAAGTAGAAACAATGGCATACTTGGTAAAATTAAAGGAAGTCAAACGAAATCAACTTGGACTAAACTAGTTGTGTCAATTAGGATGAACGATAATTTGTTGAGCTGATGTGGCTCATCACCCATGCTAAAGGTGCTGACAGTTCTCACTGTCATGAACCCAAAACATACTTTCAAGGTTTGACTTACCATAAAAGTGCATATAGTAAAATATCACAAGGTCAGCTGGGACAAAAACATTTTTTGTGTAATGTTTGGTCATCATATGATGCATAGTGCTTTGGTATGGTCAGGTTCAATGACATGACATCATACTGTTTTACATGAGTATCATGAATGGTTGATTCAAATGCACTTGTCAACTCTTAATAAAATAGTGGACTTCTAGCTCATCAGATGTCCCTTAAGCTGGTGGGCCCTGATAATTTAGTTAGTTGGCCTGATATTTGGGTGTTTAGCTAGTCATTATTTTCTTGATCAGGTTACAAATGATTATACTAGAGCACAAGAGAACATATATGATGAAAAGTGAATTGAAAGGTATACCGATAGCTTTCACATCTTCCTTTTTAACAAGTGATTCATCCTTTAAAGCAAAACAAGGAAATATTCACTCTCAAGTTTCAACTAATAGCAGAATTGGATTACACCCATGAAAGATACAATCTAAGAACATTATTATGTTGTTGCACCCATATCGTTGAGACACTACTAGGCTTTTTTGTTGACATGTTGATGTAACACATATCCATCACGATCATGTCCATGAGCGATCACAAGCCAAATTTACGATATGTGTTGGGTCATGCTGGTAAACCATAAGAAGAACGTTCGTTCTCTAAAATTTCTGAAAATCTTAACCCTTAGTTCTTGAAATATTGACTTTCACCCATGAAATACTGCAAGATGACTTTAGTTAACTTTGTCACCATTGATGTTTTGAGTTTTAACCTTATCAAATGGTCATTGAAGTAAATCGTCGATAGTTGTTTTGATTGCTTCTGCGGGGTGTTTCTTCACCTGGGCATAGCTTCGGTGTTATTTGACTTGTATATTTGCTAGTTGTGTGCATCGTACTTATGCAAAGGCCGGATGTGTGCTCGTTATGATTGGTATCCCTCGATGCTACATTATAAGTCAATAAAAAATACTCTTTATAGGAAAAAAGGAACCTATTAGGATTCATTCTATTTTCATGTTCAAATATATTTTGTGCTTTGTGTCGTCTTTCAAAATTCTGGTATAGTTTAATCAACCTAATGTCTGAGGACAAAAGGTAGATTTTTCTTTCCTTCTAAATGTATAAGAGAGAGGAATACATGGTAGAGCTCCTTATGTGATAATAAAACCATATCACTTGTGTGTATGTGTTGTCAACTTGTCATATAGGCAACAGTTCAGTGCACGCTCTGAACAGAAATCAAGAAAAATTAGTTGTTAACGGTATGTCGTCAATATTATTGATGATATGGAAATAATGAGAGGAGATACACACGATATTTTTCTCAAAATTTAATCATTGTCTTTACAGTTTACGCATTACATTGTCACGCCATTACAACACTAAAAGTTCAGAAAATTGCATGAACAAAACAAACAGCAGAACACAGAAACTCAAATCAAACACACAAATAATGCACGAGTGTGCAAGTACACCTGCACGTCTCTAGACACCAGTTGGGGCAATGGAGTCATCGTCGCCAACGTTCTCCTTGGAGAGCTCCTCCAGCGACTTGCCCTTGGACTCCGGCACCAGCAGCGAAAAGAGCAGACCCAGGAAGTTTGTGCCCGCGAGCACGAAGAGAGCGTTGCGCATGCCGATTCCCCGTGAGTAGCCGGTCTCAGGCTTCTTCTGGTCCTGTGACGCATACAGGAACCCGAATGCACCGATGATCGCGCCTGCCTTACCGGTAGCAGCAGAGATACCGTGGCATGTGGATCGGAGCCTCGCAGGGAAGATCTCAGCTGGCACGATGAAGGTTGTGCTGTTGGGGCCGAAGTTGGCGAAGAAGAAAGTGAGCCCGTAGAGCACGACAAAGCCGGTGTGATGCCCTGGCTTCACCAAGTAGTCGTACGGTATGGCGATTGCTAGCATGAAAATGGTCATCATGGTGAATCCCATGAGCTGGATCCAAAACCTCCCAATGATGTCGATGAAGGCGACGGTGAACCAGTAGCCAGGCACGGTGCCACAGAGCGCGATGAGCGCTTGGGCGCGGGCGATGCGGTACAACTCCTCCAATGCATTCATAGTCTTGGCCGGCGGGATCCACCCGATCTTGGTGAAGATGTCCTTCTGGAACAGGTTCTGGCTGTAGAAGGCCACATCGAGTAGGAACCAAGTGCTTGTGGTCGCTAGCAAGTGCACCCCGTGGCGCTTCATGAACTGTCGGGAGAAGAGGCCCCAGGTATCACCGGTGGCCCGCTCACCCTGGACGTTCTCCTCTGAGATCTCCTTGTTGAGCACCTTGGACATGTCTGATGTGGCTTGCTTTGTGTTGCCGGCGATGAGTGCCGTGTACCGCGCAGTTTCGGGCATCTTCATGCGCCAGTAGTAGGTCAGGGCAGCCGGGATGGTGCCGAACATGACGATGATGCGCCACACGTAGTCGGCCTCCGGGCCAATGGACGCCGCGGCGTCGATGTAGAATGGCGGTGCAGGGAATGCATGTCGGAATGCGGACGAGACGATGATCGTGACGATAGTACCAAATAGGATGCCAAACCCCTGCATGGCAAACACGGCGGCGATAAAGGTGCCGCGGGTCTTCTTGTTAGCATACTCCGACATGATGGTGGCGCTCAGAGGGTAGTCGCCGCCGACACCGAAGCCGAGCCAGAAACGGAAGAAACATAGCGTCCCCATTACACCCTTGGCCTCGTGTCCAAACGATAGCCCGGACGCGATGGAGCAGAGGACCATGAGGATGAGCGTGAAGCCGTAGACGCTCTTGCGGCCGAGCTTGTCACCGAGCCAGCCGAAGAAGAGCTGGCCGGCAAGTGTGCCGCATAGGGCCACGCCGTTCACGGCGGCCGACACGTTTGCCGGGAGGTGGCCGGGCTCGTTGAGGGCAGGGTCGGTGTAGTAGATGCGCCCCAGCAGCTTGGTGACGAGGGCGATGCAGAAGAGGTCGTAGGCGTCCGTGAAGAAGCCCATGCCGGCGATCACGACCGCCTTGAAATGGTACAGCTGCGTCTTGGCAACGTCCAGTGCTTTCAACACGTTGAGCTGTTCAGTCGCCATGGCCGCCGGCGATCTCTCAATTAAACTTCTTCTGTTGCTCTCTTGTTGTGTGCTTTGTTCGGTGCTTCTAGTACGTATATATAGGCATAAAAATGCAGGGTGAAGGCACATATTGTGCTAGTTGCAAGTATATAATATCATATGTGCGGCATCGCTTGTAAAACAACGGATTGTACATTAGCAGGATAGTTCTTACAAAAATATACGCGGAGTCAAATGTCTTGCCATGAGAGCTACAGCTATGTCGGGCTACATTTCTGTTATTATTAGAAGGACTAAGGAATGCTAAACTTAAGTTTATCAGGTTTGACTTTCAAATTTCAGTACTAGAGAATTGTGGAAATAAAAAATAATGAAGCCAGATCATGGTTATGCTGGGAATATACCTGAAAGATACATATTGTACACACACAAGCAAGCTTTGCGAGAAAAGGTCAAGATTATACGATGAGTTGTATCTTATGTTCTCACTACCGGCATGGATTTGGTGGCCTTTCTTCAAAGATGGGGTTAATTTGTTCTCTCCTCTATAACTACATGGTATGGCAGGAAGAAGGTAGGCACTCCGCCGATTTCATCAAGTCAGAGGAAAGCAGCAAAAAAGAAACAGAATTTCGACGATATATGGATATGCAATGCTAGGTCCTGTAGACATAGGCATACAAATATAATGATTGCAGCTGTTGTTGCTAAGTTGCTAAAATCTAGTTTCAGAACAAAATAACATATGCAACGGCTATATGTTCAGAACATTGGTCATCTGTTACATAAAAAGGGCATGTTTGGTTCGCATTGTTCTTTTCTTTTTGCGGGAATGGGTTTTTTTTTTGAAACGCGGTCTCTTAGGGCCCGATTCATTAAATAAGCTCGAAGAAAATTGCCGGTTAATAAACGGAAAACAGACGAAAACCGTCACAACCGGCCCGCAGAAACAAGGCACACAGGGCGACCTGGCAACCCACACAAGAACGCACACACGCCGCCGAGGGGAAGCGTCGAGGCTTGCGCCGGCCGATGCCAAACAGTCAACCACACGCGCCGGCGACGAGGCAGCTCTGACTCTGTCGACGAGCATTGCAGGAGAAAAGCGCTGGGCTTGCGCCGAGCCAGCGCCAGAGCGGCGACTCCTCGAACACGCCGGAAGAGACCGACTACCAAGAACCATCAACAAACCTGACTCCGCCCGAAGCCGCCATCGTTGACACAAACAGGAAGCCGCGCAACATCCGCATTGCCAGACGGGCACCTGCCGACCACAATGCCGCGAGCGTCCAGCCCATGAAGCATGCAACCGGGATCCGAAGCTCTTCAAGGCGACGCCCCAAAGAGGGAAGCGGCGATGTCGACGCCGTCGCCCGACCCAACCGGGCCTTAGGCTTTCACCCGAACAGCAAGATCCGAGGGCGTAAGAGGATGCCGGACTCCACAACGACGCCTCCAAGGAGGTTAAACGACGTCCACAGACGCCGACGCCGCCGGCCGGCAAGACCAGCCAAGATTTCGCCCGGAGTATCCCCAACACCACCAGCACCCTCACGCACTGCACCTTCGCTGACCCGCCCACCTCTCATGAAGCCACCGCGCCAGCAGCACCAGAGAGCCACCACACCTCACCTCCCCGTCGGACGAGAAGACGCCGACGGGCCAGATCCAGCCGATCTAGCATCCCACCACCGCTGCGCAACAGGAGCCACCAGAGGCCAGCCCTCCACCGGCCCGACCAGGGACCGCGCCCCACAAGGCAGGCGGGGGCGCCTGATATGTCTCCAACGTATCTATAATTTTGATTGCTCCATGTTATATTATCTACTGTTTTGGACATTATTGGGATTTATTATCCACTTTTATATTATTTTTGGGACTAACCTATTAACCGAAGGCCCAGCCCAGAATTATTGTTTTTTGCCTGTTTTAGGGTTTCGAAGAAAAGGAATATCAAACAGAGTCCAAACGGAATGAAACCTTCGGGAACGTGATTTTCTCATCGAATACAACTCAGGAGACTTGGACCCTACGTCAGGACATGTAACAGGAGGCCACGAGGTAGGGGGCTCGCCTACCCCCCCCTCCCAAGGTGCGCCCTCCACCCTCGTAGGCCCCCTGTTGCTCCATCGACGTACTTCTTCCTCCTATATATACCCACGTACCCCCAAACGATCAGATACGGAGCCAAAACCCTAATTCCACCGCCATAACTTTCTGTATCCACGAGATCCCATCTTGGGGCCTGTTTCGGAGCTCCGCCGGAGGGGGCATCGATCACGGAGGGCTTCTACATCAACACCATAGACCTTCCGATGAAGTGTGAGTAGTTTACCTCAGACCTACAGGTCCATAGTTAGTAGCCAGATGGCTTCTTCTCTCTTTTTGGATCTCAATACAATGTTCTCCCCCTCTCTTGTGGAGATCTATTCGATGTAATCTTCTTTTTGTGGTGTGTTTGTTGAGATCGATGAATTGTGGGTTTATGATCAGGTCTGTCTATGAATAATATTTGAATCTTCTCTGAATTCTTTTATGTATGATTGGTTATCTTTCCAAGTCTCTTCGAATTATCAGTTTGGTTTGGCCTACTAGATTGATCTTTCTTGCAATGGGAGAAGTGCTTAGCTTTGGGTTCAATCTTGCGGTGTCCTTTCCCGGTGACAGTAAGGGAAGCAAGGCACGTATTGTATTGTTGCCATCGAGGATAACAAGATGGGGTTTTCTTCATATTGCATGAGTCTATCCCTCTACATCATGTCATCTTGCTTAAGGCGTTACTCTGTTTTTAACTTAATACTCTAGATGCATGCTGGATAGCGGTCGATGAGTGGAGTAATAGTAGTAGATGCAGGCAGGAGTCGGTCTACTTGTCTCGGACGTGATGCCTATATACATGATCATACCTAGATATTCTCATAACTATGCTCAATTCTGTCAATTGCTCAACAGTAATTTGTTCACCCATTGTAGAATACTTATGCTCTCGAGAGAAGCCACGAGTGAAACCTATGGCCCCCGGGTCTATCTTTATCATATCAATCTCCTACTACTTAGTTATTTACTTTGCCATTTACTTTGCCTTTATTTTACTTTGCATCTTTATCATAAAAATATCAAAAATATTATCTTATCATATCTATCAGATCTCACTCTCGTAATAGTCCCTATAGGGATTGACAACCCCTATTTGCGTTGGTTGCGAGGATTTATTTGTTTTGTGCAGGTGCGAGGGACTCGCGCGTAGCCTCCTACTGGATTGATACCTTGGTTCTCAAAACTGAGGGAAATACTTACGCTACTTTGCTGCATCATCCCTTCCTCTTCGGGGAAAACCAACGCAGTGCTAAAAGAGGTAGCAGTGCCCGCCCCGACGCGACGGAAAGGAGCAGCCGGGCCGGAGGCCAGGGCCCGCCGACGGAGCTATCGCGGCTGCCACCCGCGAAGGCCGCTGCCAGGAGGCACAGGTGCCCGCTGGTGCCGCAGCAGAAGCCCCCGACGGATCCATCGCGCGACGCGGAAAAAGGGGATTGAGCCTTCCCATCCCGAGATCTCGCGGCCTGGCGAGAGGAAAAATGCCCCCGCCGCCGCCGTCCGCCGCCTGGGCTTAGCCCGGCGGCCTCCTCCGGCGGCGACGACGGGAAGAAGGAGGGGGCGGGAGGGTGGCCCGGCGGCGCGATCGAGTCTCCGCCCGTGTCGCCTCAGCCGAGACGATGCGGGGGCGTGTCTGTTTTTTGCGGGAATGGTTTGCATTGTTCTGGAAATGTAGGGAAAAAGGAGGGGGGAGGGGGATATCTGTATTAGAAGTTGTTTGGTTGTAACCAATGCAAGTGCTATGACATAATAGGCCAACCCTTACACTACTAGGAAAAGGGCTATAGATGATATGGCCACTAATGGCGCACCAAACATGTGGTGTGCCACTACTATATAGCAGTGGCGCACCATGTGTTGGTGCGCCATTAGTGTGACAGACACTAATGGCGCATCAGACCCACGGTGCGCCACTAGTAACAATTTTTTTCCAAAAATACTAATGGCGCACCAGGGCACAGTGCGCCATTACTAGTTGTAACTAGTAATGGTTCACCTACCACACAGTGCACCATTACTATAAATTTTTTTGCAAAACTACTAATGGCGCACCACAAGCTGGTGCACCATTAGTAACCAGGGTTGCTAATGGCGCATTTGTGGGTGGTGCGTCATTAGTAACCTGGGACCAGCTAGATATTTTGGACAGCCACACCTACACACTCACTTTCCCCACTTCATTCTCTCCACCTCCTCCTCCAAACTTGTCTCGGCTTCCTCCTCCTCCTCGCCTCATTTGCACCATAGATTCATCCAAATTAAGTGGTTAAATTACCTTTTTTTGATAGGTAAGTAAGGGGAAAGCTATCTTTATGTTGTAGATCTACTTTTTCTCTTCATCCAACAATGTGCACATGCACTTTTTATGGCCTTGCTAGATCTATGTATGTTTGTGGTGTTGCATATGTTTGTGGTGTTGCATATATGTTTGTGTTTGCAGGTACCGGTATTTGAAATGCGATAGTTGCCAATGTTTTGCCGGAATGTTGATTCATTTCCGTTTCGGCGAGAATTTTGGCACTATGCATTCTGTTTGGTCCTATTTTTAGGGAAAGTCATGCCAAATTTTTTCTTGGTTCTAAAATATCGTTTTGCTCTACCCCGCAGGCGATCATGGTCCGCACAATGACCGAAGGCATCGTGAATAGGTTTTTGAGCTCCGCGAAGGCCGAGATGCTTCAAAAGAATGAGACGGAGATAAGATGTCCGTGTCGAAGATGCAAGCTGAAGAGCCTTATTGCGGACCTGGATTCTGGGCAGGGCGGGACCACCTGCTCTTGCGTGGTCTCATGGATGGCTATCGGTGGTAAAGTGATGAGGATGACTATGAAGTCGTCCATGGGGCCGGCCAAGAAATGAGGAAGGGCAGCAAGACAACCACCGCAGCTCGGGCGGGCGAGAAGACGAAGAATCTCCATGACATGAT